AGGTCGTCCACGCCGATGCCGGCGGCGGCTGACAGACCTGCACGGGAGGGGTGGGGTGGTCACACCGGGCCCTTTGTCCCCTGCCTGCTCAGGGACAGCTCCCCCTCGGCACGGGGACAGGGCCAGCCCACGCCTCCAGACCTCTGCTGTTCACTGGCATTCCTCACCTTCTTTTGCCAGTGTTCTGCACCCCTGAAAGGGTGCTGGAATACACATCTTTTGTCAGTGTTCTGCACCCCTGAAAGGGTGCTGGAATACACATCTTTGTCAGTGTTCTGCACCCCTGAAAGGGTGCTGGAATACACATCTATTGCCAGTGTTCTGCACCCCTGAAAGGGTGCTGGAATACACATCTTTGTCAGTGTTCTGCACCCCTGAAAGGGTGCTGAAATACACATCTTTGTCAGTGTTCTGCACCCCTGAAAGGGTGCTGCTGGAATACACATCTTTGTCAGTGTTCTGCACTCCTATAAGGGTGCTGGAATACACATCTTTGTCAGTGTTCTGCACCCTGAAAGGGTGCTGCTGAAATACACATCTTTGTCAGTGTTCTGCACCCCTGAAAGGGTGCTGGAATACACATCTTTGTCAGTGTTCTGCACTCCTGAAAGGGTGCTGGAATACACATTTTTGCCAGTGTTCTGCACTCCTGAAAGAGTGCTGAAACACAAAGCTCTCCGTGATCAGAGAATCACAGAAGGGTGGGTTGGAAAGGACCTCACAGACCATCAGTTCCACCCCACTGCCACGGGCAGGGACACCTTCCACTAGCCCAAATCCCGTCCAACCTGGATTTCCAGCACTTCCAGGGATCCAGGGGCAGCCACAGCTTCTCTGGGAAACCTGTGCCAGGGCCTCACAGCCAGCAAAGAATTCCTTCCCAACACCCCAACTAGACCTACATAAAGCAGACAAGATGAAACCCAAATGCCTTACAAAGCATGTAAACCCTCTTTAGGAAGCACAGTCACTAAAGAGTTATTCCTGAGGTCTGACAAACGCTGCATTTTCAGTGTAGGAACTCAGGCTGGTCACCTGCAGGAAGCTGGATTAGCAAAACGACACTGCTCACAGCCAGTAAAATAAAAAGACAAAAATAAATACAGCTGGCAAGCTTCAATTCGCCAGCACGGCTAAGGCAAAAACAAAAAAAAAAGGTTTAATACATTCCTCAAAATGCCTTAAACAATTCGTAGGGCAGTCGGGAAGAGCCACATGGCAAGACAAGGAACCAAGAAAACACTGTGGCACACAAAGCAGACCGAGACATGCAAGTACTTTCACTTTTAAAGGTGCTTCAGGAACGATTTCAAGGATCTAGAATTTAGCAGCTAAGAAAACGCCAGCATAGACTAATAAAAAAAAAAATATTAAAGAAAGGGAAAAACACTCTCACACACTCTTCTCTGAGGATCTTAAGTTTTTCTACACACCTGGTCAAGGGCTTTAGTTGCCCAGTAATCCCCGTTGTTTTCAGCAACATTTTTGCCAGCCCAGGCACCAAAGATGGCTTTTCAATCTGGGGTCTGAGCAGCCCGAAGCACCTCCGTCTGAAGTGAAAGCACTCCCACTGTTTTCAGGTGAGGAGAACAAAAGCAAAGGGAGCTGCCTGAGGCACTTACTGATGGCTGGGGCGATTCCACCCACGGATCCCGGCCCGGGGATGTTCCCTGCCACGGCGGCAGCCTGCGGCAGCGGCAGCCTGGGCGGTGGCAGCCTGCTGCTGCATCTGGCGGTGGCACTGGCGCAAATCAAACACCTGGGAGCGAAAACACCGAACCGGTCAGGCTCGTCAGAACCAACACGGGACAGAGCTCCCCGAACCCCACCCCCCAGCAGCCTTCCTGCGCTCCCAGAGCGGCTCCTGCGGTCCCACCACACGCCGGGGTGAAAGCGAACCTTCCCTGGCTGCTTTCGTTTCCAGCAGCAATAACCCCTTTAAAGCCGATCCCTCAGAGGTTCTTCCCGTGATGTCACCACCACCGGCAGTACCAGACCCCGCCTGAAGCAGCGCCTGCTCTGGAAATGGCTGCAGGGAGGGTCACAGGCTGAAGGATGCTACAGCCTGGTTGTATTCCTGCTTTCCAGGCAAACCCCTGGACTTACAGAAAATAGGTGCATAAATTAAAAAAAAAAAAAAGCCAAGAAACAAAACACATAAATAAACGAAAATATGAATATAAATAACAAAAAAACAAACAAATAAATGAACCGAACAGTTTTGCTTCACTGAACTGTGCTAGTCTATTCAAAAGAAATACCAGCAGTTGACAGGACTGAAGCTGCAGGTTTTGGGTTGATGGCATCCTGCACCTTTGTGATCACTAATCACTATCTGCCATCAATTAACGCTCGGGAACTCTGTTCTCACACTAGAAGGCTCGTACACAGAGGCTGTTGGGGTTTCTTTCACCTTCACTGAGTAACCTGCCTGCAAAACCGACGATTAAAAACAAATAACCCACCGCAGGTTTTCAAGCAGTTTAACACAAGACCGATTTTTTCACAAGCGTGGCTTTGTCCAAAATAAAGCTTAAAGCCTGGCAGAGGTGTGCCCAACTGAGGACCTCCCCAAAACACTTTGTTTCCACGCAGCTTCCCCCGATCTCTGGATCACTTCCCTCTCGGTAACCAGCTCAAAACACACTTCACGTTCCTACTGAATTCACACGTGTTTTCCCCGCTTCTCTCGCTTCGGAGAGAAGAAGCTGACACAACCTGTGCTAAAAATCCCAGCAGCAGCTGGTTTGGACCTAAAACCACAAGAAACTGCTGGCAATGTGGCGATGAAACACAAGATGAACTTACTCTTGCAGTACCCCCACGACACGTCCAGCTTGGGGCGGTTTTTACAGGTCGCCCCAAGCGCAATTCTCAGGCCGTTCTTTTGAAGCGCCTATTTCAGCGCCTCCCTAACACCTCCAGGAGCCAAATACCCCCCACACCCCCCCCAGTTTTCAACCCTGGAGCCCCCAGACCAACCTTTATGTATGCACTTGGGTAGATCTTGTGCACGGCGTCCCCCGGGGCGCGTCCTGCCTCCCTGTCCAGGTAGTAGCTCTGCACGAACACCGCGTGGTCGCTCAGGCACCGCACCCACACGTCGCCTTCCCCCTTGCACTCCAGCTGCACCCCTTTGCCTATGTGCAACCTTTGGGGAGGGGGGGGGGGAAAAAAAAAGAAAAACAGAGCCAATGCACCCGTGTGCTCAGGCCAAAGGAGACACGAGCAGCTCCCTCCCGCCTGCGGCGCCGCAGCTTCGCGCTCCCCGCGCGCATCTGAAACCGGAGCTGTTGGTTTAGGGGTGAGTCAGTGCCTAGTTACGTGGACCTGAGAAATGAAAACCCACCTGTGAAGTCATGCAAAGGTCTGTGGGAAACACAGAAGGCAGAAGCAGAGATATCTGATCAGCAACTACCACACTGGCAGACAGCACAGGGCCGGGACACCAAACGGGCTCAGAAGTGTAACGTCCCACAAGTGCTTTTTTACGGAAAGTCACTCAAGAACATTAAAAAAAAAAAGGCACATTTTAATGCAGAACTGCTTGTCTGGATCACAGTCTAACATTTTGATTGTCACAACGTGACATTTCCGGAGACAGGGAGTCGTTTTCTTCCTTCTCCTTTCAAAGAGGGGGAAGAAAAGCCGCGAGATTGCTTCAGCTCTCTGTGCTTCCACATCAAAGCCCAGCCTAAGTACGGTGGGAGAATGAAAACCCAACAGCTCCCTATGAACCTCCCTTTGCTCCTTTGACAAATCTCTGTGCTGCAGCCCTTCTCACACCACCCCGTGGTGTGGAGAGCCAGCACTCAGCCCGCACACCTAACGGCACAAGTCGCTAATTTTATCCCCGAAGCACAGCCTCTGGAAGCAAAGCAGAGAGAGGCTTGCAAGGCCTCTGCAGGGCTCTTGTCACACAGCTCACCACCCCAGAGAGACACAAACTCCAAGGTAAGTCAGCCCAGACAAACCCACACCGCCCTGGAGATCCCACACACCGCAGACAAAAAAAAAGCACGGCCACCATCCCACGGGCAGCCGGAGCTCTCGGGGGTACCTCGCTCTCTCTATGGCTTCTGTTCTGTGCACGTTGGAAAGCTGGCCCAGGCAGAAGCGGTCTCCCCCAGAAGGATCCACGTATCCGTCCACGGTGACGATGGGGCAGCTGGAGGGGACCTTGAACGTCTCCCCGACCTGCACGTCCATCTCGAAGTACGCGATCGAACACCAGTACTCTGGGGCTGGGGAACACTCACAGTTAACCGACTGAAGGGCGCAAAGAAAGGCCTACAAATCCACCCCACACAATCAATTAAGCCTTCTGCAAACTGCAGTTGTCGTCCAGAGAGGAGTGCACGTTCACTTAAGCGGGTTCTGACAGACAAAGGCACGTCTGCGACACAGAAGAATACAATACTACACACGGGGACAAACACGGGCCTGTTGTTTCTGTCTGGGCACACATCAGTGCTGGAGGCTTCTGCAGCTAAGATCTTACAAGTTTTTGTGCTTGTATCCTAATTCCAGCTGGATTTTGTAAGCCACCTGCACTCCTGCACTTCATAGGCACAGCTTTAAGCATAAGGAAGTTGCACGTTTATGCCCACGCCTGGCTGGGCCGGCAGGAACTAACTCTGAAACAGATCTGGCTTTGAGATACAGGGGGAATCACCTCACAGGTGAAGTCGGATCTCTCTACCCTCCCTGCAAAGGGAACTGGATGTGGAAAGCAGGGCAACGGGGGGAAAAAAGCACACATCAAAGATCACACACCCCGATCTTGTCTGCACACAGAGTCGGGGATGGGATAAAACCTGGAGGAATTAAGAGAGGGGGCAGAACAAAACGGCGTGTTTTCACAGCAAAGAAGTGCCTTTTAACTTCTCCTGGCTGCCTGAAAACCTGCCTGCAGAGGAAAGAGGGCTGCCTGCAAAGGAAGGAAGACCCAGACTCCCCGGAGGGCTCCACTGAAACCCAAACACTCGAGTTAAGTGACGGAACCTGGCAGAGGAGGCAGGGTGATTTTGCACACGGGTGTCTGCTGTTTCTGTGCCACCTGGGAGCATCTGGCCTGTCAAGCCTCCTGCGGTGTGCTGTGTGTGCTTTTCGCTGTGCAGTTTCTCTCCTCAGAGGTGTTAAAACCTGAAGCTGTCACAAGCTGCAGCCACTGGGGATTCTGGGGACTCGGCACTGCTGGTGACTGTGAGGACCCGTTTTCACAAAAGGGTAACACAGCTGGGACGTGCTTGTCGGGGAGGGTAAAGGAAGTCCTGGAGTCACAGGCTGGTTTGGGCTGGAAGGGACCTTAAAGCTCATCCAGTCCACCCCCTGCCATGGGCAGGGACACCTCCCACCAGCCCAGGTTGCTCCAAACCACGTCCAACCTGGCCTTGGACACTTCCAAGGATGCAGGGGCAGCCACAGCTTCTCTGGGCAACCTGTGCCAGGGCCTCAGAACCCTCAGGGATCTCTTCCCAATATCTAATATAACCCCTCTGCCAATGGTAAGCCATCTCCCCCCGTCCTGTCGCTGTATCAGCACCACAGTGCACCCAGAGCAGGAGGAGCAGAACACGATGGAATGCCCCAACACCCTGAGAAGCTGAGGGGAAGGAGAGCTCTCCCAGTGCTGCCACTGATCCTCCCACACCACAAGCAGCAGCCCCCCAACAAACAGCACACTCGCTCGCCTTAAGGAACTGTTCTGGCTCTATCAGAAAACAATTAAACCGAGGTGCCTCAATTCCTTCTGGTTTATCTTCAAATAAATTGCTCCTGTCTGGGAGGGCTCAGCGGGATGAAATCAACAGGGTGAAAGATCAACATTAAAAAAATGAAATACGATTTAGCTACAGTCAAGGTTCAGCCAGCAACTATCAGCAGTTTAATTCCTGGCACTGCCCTAGTAACGGACCAAGGAATAAACAGGGAATAAACTTTTGGGCTTTTCAACTACGCAGGTCTCCGCTCCAACAGAGATGTCCAAACTCAAAATCAGATTTGTCACAGCACGGTTCCTCTCCTTCTCACAATATTAGCATATTTTTATATATATATATATCTCAGTATTAGTATCACATGTTAAGAGTTCACTCACCAGGATGATTTGATATAGGAGGCTGGAATGCGAGTTCGTTGTGAACTGGCCCTTTAAAAACAAAACATGCAATGCGTTTTACACCAGGAAAAAACGAGGTTTTCTTTCTTAGCTTGTTTTCCTATGAAATAAATCACACTCCGTTAAGTTTCCTCCATCACAGAACAAGCTGCCCAGCATGCTGTGGACTCGACCATAAGAGACAGTCCCTCGAGATGGGAAAAAAAGCCCCAGAGAACTCATTTTCTGAAGTAAAAAAAAAAATATACTGAATACAGTCCTGGTACGAGCCAGATTCTTCTCTTTATGAACTGACTGGGTCCCTTACAGGCTGCAGGGAGGGAAGGCTCAAACACAGTATTGTGAGCAGCAGCAGCTTTTGCAACAAGATGTCAAAGCAGGCACAACTCGGGTAGGTGTGAAACACGCAACTCGGGGAAGTGAGAAACAGCCAAGGAAAGCTCAGTGTGGCACCACCAGCCAGTCCCAAATATTAACCAGTCCCAAATATTAACCAGTCCCAAATATTAACCACGGAAAGACACGTGCACTGGGAAACATCCATGGAGTATCCACGGCACCACCGGAGCTTTTTCCACCCCGGCATGTTCCTCACAGATAATAACGATCAGTGAAGTGGGATCCCAACAGAACAGAGCAATAAAATGTAATAATTGTCTCTGCACCGCAGGTTTGTTTGCAGAGACAAGCTGAAAGGTCGTTCTAACACTGATGTACAGTATGTGCTCTCCTCCACTGACTGCTGCATGCCAGTGATCTGTATCAGAACATGTACTGTATGTTCTAATAAGGGGGATATTCTAATAAATAAACACTGGGTTAGAAAACAAGGAGCTGTTCTAGCTTTCTGCCACAAAACTTAGAAAACTTACATAAAACCCTTGTAATGCATCAACTGCACACCTCCACTAGAAGTCTGATCACTTTTTTTTTTCCCCTTCCCATCTCCTCTACCTTAAAACAGGAGAGACTGTTGTCCTGTTTCGTAGATGGAAAAGACTTTCAGCTCTGTGTGCTGATGCACTCGTGGGTCAGGCTGTGGCAAAGACCACTTTTATTGACAGGTGCTTTCGTGCACAATGCCCCAGGAAGTTATTTTAAACTGGCAAGTGTGCATGGACACAGGTCTTCTAAAAAACCTCCCGAAAATGAAGACAGCCAGGAATTTCCAAGTTTTGAAAGGGGGAAAAAAAAAAAATATATACCCGTGCTGAATCAGCTTCCTTTTTCTGCCAGGGAAAGGCTTAGCACAGGACTGCAGAGCTTTAAAAACAGAGGTTTTAGGAAGGAAAGGCTGGTTTTGTTAGGTGTAGTGAGAGATGTGAATATATAGGGTGTCACTACAACTGAGTTTCTACCTCTGCTGCTTCAGCAGAGGGAGGACCCTCAAGCTCTAGGCTGTCAGAACACAGTAAGGGGGGTAATGGTGGTTCTGTAACCACAGATGGAGGAGTGGGGGGTAAGGGAGGAGCAGGAATGAGCTGTCCTAGTTAGAACAGCTGGGCCCAGTTCATCCCTGGATGGGTGTAACCCAAAACTGTGTGTTCTAGAGCCTTCCATGCCATTGCCCAGAAACTGTTATCAATGAACCATTTACACCCTCTGCCCAGAGCACCCCTGACTCCTCAGGCTATAAACTGGGTGTTAAGAGGCCTGGGAGATAGGAGAGTGTTTTTTGTCCTCACACCCTTTGTGGAACTCCCCATCCTGAGGGAGGGACTGAGCATTCCTGCCTGAACTGGAAGATATATAATCTTGGAGTCCTGGGACTTTTTTAACCACTCCTGGGATCCAGAGGAAGACTGCAGACCATCACTCTCAACCAGACTGCAACTACCACTCTTGACCAGACTGAGACCACCACTCTTGACCAGACTGAGACCACCACTCTTGACCAGACTGAGACCACCACTCCTGACCAGACTGAGACCACCACTCCTGACCAGACTGCACCACCACTCTTGACCAGACTGAGACCACCACTCTTTTGACACAGAAACTTGACAACTGACCACCACTCTGACCAGACTGGACCACACCTCTTGCCAGACAGACCACCACTTGGACAGACACCACTCTTGACCAGACTGCACCAGCCCTCTCACCAACAGGTTTTCCCCTCTCCCTTTACTTTGGGCTCAGGGGGGGCCCAACTAACACCACTCTGCTCATGCCCCAGGGAGCTGGGCTATGCACTTGGGTTCTGTGGGTTAAACCCAACTGTTTGTCTGCATAACCACACTTATTGTACTGTTTTATCAAACTGTTACTCCGACTTATGATCCCTCCTTGGAGCTGGGTTCCTTTCCCCGCCAGTTCCCCTCCAGACCAGCACATGACCCCCCAGCCCAGAGAGCCGTGGGTGCAGGGGGTGTGTGTGTGTGAGCCCTGCTTACAGTAGTGGCTGGGGTGCATGGGCGGGTGGTGCTGCAGGTGGCCGTTCTGGTGGTGAGGGATGGTGGGTGTGTAGGCTGCCGTCCGACTCCCAGTCCAGGTCGTGGTGCTGTCTGGAGAGAAAAACAGAGACAGAGAGAGCAGCAGGGTTGGTTTTTAAGGGGGGTTTCTCCGCGTCTCCCTTCTAATTCCTCTATATTCCTGCTGAGCATTTCGGGAACTGGTTTTGGAAAGCTAAGAGGAGTGCACGTATGTGAATACTCACTGTGGTGGTAAGTGGCTGGCTGAGCTGTAAACCCATTCTGCTGAGTTCCTGGCTGAGGCCCTGAAGCAATCTGTAAGAGTCCATCACTATGGCTACCTGTCAATATACTGGTAGGTTGACCTGGTAAAAGAACACACTACCTATTCATGAACGTTCCAAAATTTTAATTAAGAAGAGCTCAGCACTACTTGGGTAGGAAAATACACCCCAAACTAAGGGCAACTGCAAATACACAGTTCCTACAAAGTCTGGTTTCAAGTATTTTGATTTCCACCCGCCAGAGTGTCTTGGGAAACCTGAACCAAAATGCTCTGCCATCAGACAATTTTGACTCTGACACCTTTTGTCTTGGTCACATCTCACCCTGCAGTTTGAGAGGAAAGAAAAAGAGGTGCCACAGCTTCTACTGGGAGTAGGTTTGGTGTGAATCCAAACAGGCCAACAGCAGGTCCAACAAGCTGCTTGTTTTCAAGCATGTTTTAACTACTGTTCCTAAGGAGGACACTCACTTAAAGCTTATGTTCCTCCAAAACACACTGACCAGCACTTTACTTTTACAAAGAGTGCTCCAACAGAGCTTGCATACATCACTGGACTCCTTCCTCAGAAAGCTGCTGTGCTTTCTTTTTTCTCCCAAATAAATATTTCAAGAATTGTCTTACATTCAAAGTAAAATTACAGATATTTCACAGCAGGCTAACGGGATTTGACTTCAAAAGGCTTCAGCTCAGCCATTAACTCTACACTGATCAGCAGTTTCACAAGTACACTTGCACTCTCAAACTGGCGTGGCTAGCAGAATTTAACACATCGAGAACTTGAACTAAAACCTAAAAATTAGCTTTTTTTTTTTTTTTTTCCCGCCCACTTGGCTCCAGCAATTATAGCAGCGATGAGAAAAAGTTACTGGCTACCAACTGTTGTGCAAAGGCAACACAGTTAACTGCCTATCCTTTTTTTTCCCTCTGCTGGAGACAAACACAGGTGTCACATCTCAGCTTGGCTTTAGGGGGGAAAAAACCAAAAAACAAACAAACAAACAAAAAAAGCTGCCAGCTAAAATTGAAGAACGTTAGGAAAACACAACTCAGGTCTGGTAAAACGAAATCAATCCCATTCAAACCAGGTCCTTCAGGTGAAACCCCTCCAAACCCTGTGGTGCCCCCGCCTGAGGGCTGCAGTGCACGTAACTGCTCTGCTGTGAGCTGTGGTGCTGGGACACCAGGCTCTTCCTTCCACTCGTGCCAAACTCACACAGAGGAAAGAAAGGAAAAACTTCAAGGCAGACTCGTGGAAATGCCAACCAGGGCTGCCACTTGGGTGGCACAGCAGGCCTTGGTAAAAATAACCAAGTCAAAACTGGAAGACTAAAGAAACTGCCTTAAAATCTCCTGATTCTGCCACCTGACAGCATCACCCGTCTGCTGTTCTGCTTGCTGCTGTCACAAGACAATAACTTCATTTCTGCAGCGATCAACAGCAACAGCCACAACGCCCTGCTGGAGGTTCTGACATTCTGTCACTGAACCTCGGCACGGCCGGAACAGCCTCGTAAGACTCGCGCCAGCGGCCCCGAAAACAAGGCTGGGTCACCCTGCTCCAGGTTAAAGCCCGGCTTTTAACTCTCAGATCGTATCGCCACACGCTTTGATCAGCGTGGTGCAGCAGCAGCAGCACGGCTGCCGTTGCAGGATCTGCCCTGGCAAAGCTCAGCCCCTCTGAGCTCCGGCGCTCTCACAGCGTTCCCGCGTCAATCTCGATGATCTTACTTGTTGAAGCCACGGGAATGTTGGGAAAATTAGTGGTGCTGGTAGTGCTAGCCTCAGTGGGAGCTAACATGGCTGGGGTGCTATAAGGCTCTGTCGAGGCCCTGTTACTTGGTGGGTGCTGGATGGTCTGCACGGAGTGTCCCTCGGCGGAGCTCAGCGACGGCTGCCCCTCGTAGTCGTGGACGTACTCGTCCTTCACCAGCATGCTGGATGGAGCTGTGGACACACACAGAGGGGCTCAGCACACACCCAGCCACCCCCAGCACTCGGCACAAACTGCGCTATTTTCGAGCAATAGCGAAGCCATTAGAAACTGGAGGACTTAAACTGCACAAGCGTTGCCAAAGCACTCCTCTAAATTACAAATAAACAGCTCCGAGCCGGCAGCGGGGAATTTTGAGGCATGGCTGGATGGGAAAGCAAGCTGTTTATTTTGCTTAATGCTCTCAGGCAAGCAGTTTAGTCCCACAGGCAGCAGACTTTCAGCAGCGTTTTGTCTTGTAGTCCATCATTATTTGATCGGACACGGTTAATAAAAGGGAAAAACATGCTTTTTGTCAAGCAACTAAACGAATGTTAAGGCAGCCAGCTAACAAACCAATTCTTAGCGTACAAGCAAGAACACACATAAAGCCCCTCACGAAAAAACATAATTCACGAGCACAGCACTAAAAACTTCATGCATCTCCCTGGAGTAATTTCAGGCAACTCCCACGCAAATCGACTAGAAACATTAAATTCAAATTCAAAGACCCCATAAAGCTGCTCCATATTTAACAACAGCAGCCGGTAACCCAGGGTATTCCACATGCAGCCTAAGGAAACCACCACCACTGCCACTACAGTGACTTATTTCTGTATTTGCTGTTGAGCCTGTCCAAACAAAACCCTCGCGCCACATCAAGCTCCTGCGCTCGTTTTTTTTAAAGCAGCCTAAAACGATGTTAAAAAACCTGACAGTAATTTTTTTTTGGTGGGAAAACCAGCGGGCAGGAGACACAAGGAAGCACTCAGTGATGCATTTAACTGCTGGCTGGTGAGCTCGGGCTCTGCACAAAAGGGTCGTTTGTCAGAAGGCAGGAGTAAAGGTGCAAATTAGCAGAGATGAGCGCACAGGTTAAAACTTGTGAAGTCGAGTTTGATGGGTAGTTTGGGGGGTTTTAAGTCATTTTTGCTAAATCCGGGTCACACGGATTTCTTTCTCTGTGAATCTGTTCTGGAAGGAGAATGAAATCGGTTTTGAAATAAAAGCGGTTACCAGGCGCAACCTCGGATTCCTGAACGACGCTCATCAGGCATTTTTAACGTCCAATTTCTCTCAGGTTTCAGGGGAAGCAAGAGTATTTAGGCCCCTGCAGTCAACTGCAGAATTTTTACCATTTTCTTCTTCAACTGCTAATTAAACTGCAAGCGTTCATTTATTCCCAATTCCATTAACCAGCGTGTCAATCCACACGGTTTTGGGTGTCCTTTTTATATTAATTAGCATCGTTCAAGGTTTTTTGTTTTCCCCCTTTTTGTTTGTTTGTTTGGCTTTACAAGTCGGAGGCAATGAACGCAGAATGCAGGCACCAGCTTGGCTGAGGCCTCCCTTTGAGGAATTTATCAATACCTGCCTCTCACACACTGCCTAGGCAATTTAAAGGACTCATGAACACTTCCTCGGCTGGTTTTCCAGAGCCAGAGAGACAAATGCACCGCCATCTGCTCTTGATACTCCCTCCCAGAGAGACAGAGGAACAAACCCTGTACCTACTGCAGGGTTTTAACACAGTTTGTGCCCACAGAAATGCAGCAGCAGCCAGAACTACTTACCAGAACTCTGTAGAGTCAGCCCTGATAGATCTTTAAAGATAAGAAAAAAAAAGGGGTTGTGGAGGATTATATACACAAATCTTCGAAAGTGTTTAATCAGTTGCAAGCCTTTAAAGATTAGTACTGCAGACCTCACTTATCAGACCCCCTCCATCACAGCACAAGTCTCCAGGCTAAGTTATCCCTGGGACACACATCAACTCCAGGAGCTGTGTGCAAAGCCAACAGAAAGGCTTAAACAAGAGCCACGACCCCCTTCCTTCCAATTTAGGATAAATAAAAGGCAGAAGAACAACTCCCTGCAGAACAAGGACGGGAGCACGGGAGCAATTTGTAACCAGATCACTAAAAGTTAACGTTTCTGACTCGAGCCTGCGTTTTCTAACGCTGAAAAACGTCTCACAACTCAATTCCCACTGTTCCATTTTAAATCAAGAGTCTACTCACCGATGCCAGGCGACACTACACGCTCATAATGGTAAGGGTTTACACAGACACTGTCACATTTTAAGTCAAAAGCATACTGACAATATTTAACATGCTTGAGTTCATTTTTATGAAGATCGGGCCACCTCCAAAGACGGGCGTAAATCACATGAGGGAATCCCTTGCGACCAGCCACCTAAAGAGCCAGACACAAAAGTTGATTGGGAAGGTAGCAAGAGGCATTTTCGTCTCACAAAAGGCATTTTCACTTCACAGAGCGAGAAAGCTGGGAGGGGGACAAACAGCAACACACCCTCACTCCGCCATCAAAATATATATATATATATGTATATAGGTGCATAAAAAAAGGTGGTGTACGCTTTACCCGAGCTCTGCAATCAGCAGAAATAAATCTCCATGAGGGTTTTGCTACAGTTAAGTCGACACTGGGTGGTTCTTAAGTAAAAAAAAAATAAAAAAAAATCACTGGATGCAAAATGGCAGAAGCAGAACTTGTGCTCAGCGTAGCTCGTGTGGTCACCTTCCTCACGTGAAGGAGCTGTGCCCCAGGGAGAAGAGGAACGAGGCACTAGAGCTACACTTTTAAGGGATTTACAAGCAGAAGGATGCCAATCGTTATGCTGAAGGGAAAAAAAAATTAAATAAATAAATTGGGGGGGGGGGAAAAATGGGTCTAGGGTAGAGGGAAAAGCTAGAGCCAGCAAACATGACATCTGCCCTGGAACGAGGAGACCACAACCCCAGCTGCACAGGGACTGAGCCCTGACGGTGCAAACCCCCAGTGCAGACTCCTTGGAGTGCCCCAGCAAGGGACCACGGGCCTCTCTTCACAGAGCTCAGAGAAGCCTGCAGTGAGAACAGGGGATGAGCCAGCCGGATCTGTTACGTGACACACGCACAGGCTCGTTTAGAACGGCTGATCCAACGCCTTCTGCTCCTTCTGGGAAAAAAAACAGCAACCACTGCGGCCAGTCCAGAGCTCCAGCCACAAACCAAGCCTACAAACAGGGGCGAGGGGGGTGCAAGAGAAGAGCTACCCTCCCTCAACACTCCGGGGAAACCTGCGCCGCTCACTTGCGCCCCAGCTCCAGCGGGAGGAAAACGTCTGGTGTTTTTTCACTTGTACTGACCTGAAGCCTCCCATCCAGCGTTCTCTGTATCGTAACACACTTGCTAGGATGAGCTCCGTTTGTGGTTATGGCTGTAATCAAAGAATCCAATTCATCCTTTTTCTCCTTCAGCTTTTTAACTAAGCTTTCGATTGCGCGCTTGGCAAAAGTTTCGCTCTCTCCACCTTGTCGATGGCACATCAAGCTGTGAACAATGCTCAGACAAGCATCATTACTTGTTGGCGTGTTAGTAATAGACATATTGTCCATTTGTCACAGCTTTTTTTTTTTCTTTCGGGTCAAATGTCAGTTTTGGGGGCTGTTACGACTTTCAGGCTGATGAACAAGAGATGATCCAAGTTAAGGGTTAGATGTACTGTCCCTTGGGTAAAACCTAGGAGGAAAAAAATATCTGCATTAGAATTGGTTTTTTTGACAAATTGCAGATCATGTTTTTCTAAGGAAGTCTGTGGTTTTTTTGCTCCTCTTATTTTCAAGCTTAAGTGCAGGATATTAAAAGCACACGAAAAAAAAACTGCATTGCTTGTCCCGTGGTAGCCAAAACATGCTTAAGACACTGCTTGCACAGTTTTCAGACACAAGATTCATTTTTCCCCTAGTAACAATATTTAAATAAAGATGATAAGTTTGTATACACGTGCACCTATAGTATGTACACACAGGAAGGGAAGGGTCATTAAATGAGTCAGGAAAAGGAGGACGGTGACAATGAAACCAAGTGAGAACACTGACTGGGAGTCAAGGGGCATTGATTTAAAGGGAATCTGAACAGTGAAGAAGCATGAATGCACACCAGAATCATCTGCCACCTTTATTTAATAACCCTGTTCATAGTTCAGCTATGTTCTGACCTCGGACTAACTCTATTTCTCTTTGCTAATCAGAAAGGCGAAAAAACTGCACCTGGCCATTAGCTCGAGAGACATTTCAGTAAATCAGTACTGTGTGTATCTTTAGACACGAAAATCCCAACGTTTGTCCTTAATTGTTTGTATCCAGCCTCTTCTGGATCAAGGCAAAGCAACTGAAGTCACTAAAAAATTGTCACAATTCCAAATTGTCTGGGACAGAACTGCCCTAATTACAGCAAATACAAGATGAGGGATGAGTGTGTGTGTGTGTCCCTCCCCTCCCCGTTTGTTAAGGACCTGCAGTGGTTTCTGGTCATGAAGTCACTGCTCTCACAGCCAGCAGACCCCCATCCTTTGGAAGCTTCCTTTAGTTTAAAGAGCTGGCCTGATTCTCTCAGCTCTGAACGAGCTAATTACTACACCCAGAAACACAGGACGGCGGGTTCTGTGCAGCCACAGAGGAGGAGCCTAACGCTGCCAAAAAGCTGCTTCGGTTCTTCAAGCAGATCTGGCTTCGGGGAGTCACCAGCTACGGGCTCTGCCTTCCTTAGGACACCGGCAGCAAACACACAGAAGTGATTTTACTGTGTTTACTAAGCTTAAAGCATAAGCCTTCCTGAAACTACCACGCTGTTCTCGACAATGTAAATACAGTATATCCGATTTCAAGAGTTCGGGGGGGTGGGGTGAAAAAGGCCTGCTCACATCATACCCGAGGAACACAACCTGTTACTGCCCTGGAATTTTCCATGTTACTGGAGGCACGGGAGTAGCAGCTATTTACTGGGAACAGAAACGCGTCGCACGGGAGCGAGAGCGGAGCGTTGATTTAGCGATTCGGGGCACCACACAGATCGCAGTGGGGAGGCCCTGGCTCCCCTCCTGGTAAAAGGAACACTGCAGCACAAACCCGGCACCCTCACAAAAGGACACACGAACCCTTCCTCGTTTAATGTCTTCCACGATTTCGACTCGGATGCATCACACTTCGGCACACAACAGGAAAAAAAAAAAACAAACCCAAAACTGCGCAGATCCTTCCCCCTCCCTCCTTTCTCAACGCTCTCCTTCTTTCATGAGGGCGCTTCTGCACACCTAATTTCTCCCAAAGGGTAAGAAGTCTGAGTTAGATCACAGATTTTACCTAGCTGTTAAGAGTTTCTCCCTCCCCTGGTTTGTTTTTTTTTTTTTTAATGCGCTTCAACTCGACAAGCCCCTTTTCAAAACTCGAGCTCTACCTGCCAGTCATTCTCCATGGCAACCCACGCTCCTACAGATCGCTCACAACCTCGCAGATCCACGGATCTGCAGGAGCCTGCCAGCTAGAGCATGGCTCTGCTCAGACACAAAGCAGCACCCCCAGATGGATGTGCAACACGCAAACGGCAAACGAGCGGCCCGATAAAGCGATTTAGCCGGAAGAGCTTCAAATAAAGACACGCTTGAAATTAGACACGCGGCTCCATCTCCCACGCCCCTCGAAACCGTGAATGAGAACCTCGCCTGGCGACTTGGGGAGGGCTTGGGATCAGGCAAACAAAACCCGATTCAAGAGGAATTATCTCCAGAAACGTTGAGTCACCCCCCCTCCGGCTGCCACCGCGCTCAGCGGGAGCTCCCGACAGCTCAGCACTTTTTGAGAGCCAGGCCACTTGCTCAGGGTTTCCAGCGCTGCCACGGGCTGCCGGTGTGACCCAGCAGTGCCCCGGGCAGAGCTCCTGGGTGCCCGGGGGAGAGGGGGACGCTGAGCAATGCCGTGACACGTTTCCTCGGCGCTGTTCCGCCGGCGAGCCGGCTTTTCGCACCCCACAGATTCAGTTCCTCTCAAAAGGGCTCCACGAGCCCACCCCTGCCCGAGTCACACTTTCGAGAGGTGCCTTAACACCTCCCTTACTACGCGGCTCCCATGTGTGCAAATAAAAGCAGAACGCAGTCCCAGTGCCTTGTATTTTTAGGAGGTGGCCTCGGGAGACGAGGCTCCTGCCCGGCCTCAGGGGGTGTTCTGCCAAACAACACCGTGCCCGTGGGATGCCACATCCACCCTGATGGGAGAAGGGATGCTCAGACTCACCCCTCGGCACACCCCCTGCCTGAGGAGGCGACCCCACACCACAGCCCAAGCTCAGGGGAATACACGGGGCCAAATGCAAAGTCGAGCAAAGATCTCCTCAGTTCCCTCTAATCAGGAATGTGATGGAAACGGGAGTGAGTGAGTGCTTTGGTGGGGGAAAGGGGGCAGAGAAAAGAGACAGGGAACACGAGGAAAGCAGCAGGAGGTCACAGCACAAGCTCTCAGCTTCACCCACCACGGAACAAAAAGGTGTTTCTCACCCTTTTGCTCTGGTGAGACGCACACAGAACTGACTAAAAATAAAGGCACAAGCTGATGTAAAATGCTAACAAGTCACAAAGTCACAGAAAAGTACCTGATTACATTCAGACTCCGTGATTCTAAAGATCTTTCCCAACCTCAACAATTCCGTGACACTACCTAATACAAAGCGATTTATTTCCACAACTAAGAATTAACAAGTGAATTACAAAACAAGCAAACAACAACCAGTGTTCTACAACAGCCTCAAGTACTGGCACCAGAATAAGAACCTCTGCAGAGGAGCTAAATCTGAGAGACAAAAAGAACGTAGTGTGGACTTACCTAGGGTGGCAGTACCACTGCTGAGCTCTCACACCAGTGCCCTCCCTGTATTTATACCTCCCTTAGGGACAGGAATGCAAAACAGGCACCACGCTGACCCAAACTGTTCCACTGTTTTCAGACCAACTGAGACCTTGTCCCTCAGAACACTGATTATTTTAGGGGCATGATTAGAAAGCAGGGACAGGGTGAACGCCCAGAACCTTCTGCGAGGACCTTGCTCGGAGCCCCCAGGACAGCATTTCCCTTCTGGGGGAACAGGGCGCCCCCGGGTCAGCCAGAAAACACACAAAAAGCACACGGGGGGACAAACAACACTTTTATGGGAACAGACACTTAATATCCCACCTCGTTTGACAGTGTCCCCTCAGCTGCACCAGCAGGGCAGCCTTACGGGCTAGCACAGCCTAAGAACAAGGGCTCTTACATGCCAGAAACCACGGGTAAGGAAAACAGCGTGAGGGCACGGCTTCCAAATACCTGCAGCAACTCTTCGGGGCAGCAAATTAGGCATTTAAGAGATAGGATCGCCTGGATGGCCTCACAGGAGGCCAGAGAGCTGCCGAGGTACGTTTCAGTTTGGAGTTCTTTGCCAGAAAAGCAGGCAGGCACACGGAGACACGGTCTAAGAAAGGCACAGGGGTTTCAGAAAGAGAAGAGAGTCCTTCTGATTTTGGTGGATGGGGAAAAAGAAAAACCCCACTTGGCATTAATTTCCTTGCTTTCACAGGGGTGTTACTACAGCTGTGCAAGAGCTCCTCCGAGACACAAGGGGAGGGGGCTGCCAAAATAACACGAAGACCTCACCCAAACCCCTGTGGAAGTGTTTTTGCCAAGCAAGTCCTGAAAAAATCCCTTCCTCCACACAGTTCCCGTCTCCAGCGCTGTGATCTGGCCGAGAAGTTAGGAACCCGGGCCCTTAAAAAGGACTCACACGGCAAACGAGCAGTTTGCACCCCCGCAGGAGGTTTGCCCTCCCCCTCTCCTCCCACAGAAGCCGGAGTTTGGGGAGAAAGAACCATCAGCCCCAAACGAGGAAAGGAAACAGAGACAGACCGGGGCAGCTACGGATGGAGCTGGGAGCCAGGGATGTAACCCCGAGGAATACGATCCGGGCCATCAGCAACCCCACAGCCCAGGCAAGGCAGCTAATCCGGGCCGGGCACTGACACACACACACACGACCCCGCTCACTTACAGTGGGGGTTGGAGCCAATGGCAGCTGGGGAGGGATCAGGTTCACCAAGAAACCCAGTCTAAAAATGTGACAGCCCAAATGCCACCGGATAATTACTTTTGAGACACGGGCAGAAGGCCAACACACACACACACACACACACACACACACCCCCTCCACGTCGCTTTTTTAGCATGTGTGTCTTGCACTCCTTCACTTCCCACAGCAAAACCAGTGTTTTCCAAACCTGAGACCGCCTGAGGCCCCTGGGAGACTCCCCTGTGAGAAACAGTGTGACTAGGAGGGATCAGGTGACACCTCGTTTTAAAAACCGAGACGCTGATTGCAGCGTTTGAAGAGGGGAAAAAAACAAAACAAAACAAAAAAGAACAGTTAAGAAATATAACGCGGCCTTGGCACAACGGGAAAAATAGATCCTGCAGGTGTCAGGGCTGCAAAGGGAAAGCTTTCTGTGGAGAAAGAGGTTCCACATACAGACGTGGTGCTGGTGGGAAGGCTGATGGACACGACAGGGGAATGCACAGCACACACACTGACACGCCAGAAAGAAGAATCCGAGATGGACTTGTGGCCGCACGCACCGAAATAAATAAATAAACCCTCGTGATGGAAATTCAGACAGAAATTCACTGTGAAGTGAAAATCAAAGAAAAAAAAAAAAGGTTTTACACGTGCTAACGTGGCACT